GTCTTTTTGAGACAGAGTCTCCCTATAGCCCCAGCTGGCCTGGAACTTGCTTTTTTAACTCCACAGAACATAGTTTCTTTTCTTGTTTTGATTAACCAGAAACATTCCAGAATGATTTTTGATGTAGATATAGCACCTTTTTTTTTTTAGAAAATTTACATTTATACAAGGCTACTAAAAAAAAAAAAAAAAAGAAGCCAGGCATGGTGAGATATGCCTGTGATACCAACACTTGGGAGGTAGAAGCAGGAGGATCAGGAATTTAAAGCATTCTTGGTTACATAGGATGTCTGAGATTAGCCTGGACTGTAGAGACTCCATCCCCCTTCCAAAAGGCAAAATAAAACAAAAGAATAGCCCCAGTATTTCTGGTGTTAGAGGGGAACCCCAACCTAGTTTCCCCAATACCGCACAAAACAGTCTTTGGAACTAGGAAGCAGAAAGGGTCTACATATATTTGTGTATGAAGCTAAAAATCCTCCAAGGGGATTGAGGCCAAACATTCTGATTCTTTTGTTGCCTTACTATATCTGAGAACACCAGTCCTGCAACTCCCTACTGTACACAGGATATAATACAGGGGCCATGTTAAGAAGATCAGCATTTTCCTCTCAGTAAATACTGACCCTCTTTTCCAAGTGCATGAGATATTGTTTGAAAGACTTTGAGACTCATAATAGAACCAGGTGCATGTACTGCTTGGGTAAGGGCTTAACAATGGTAGTGATGGCCTATGGAAACACAGCACTTGGTGTGTGGGGTGTGTATCTTGCAAAAGAGAGTTCCTATTGGAGGCAGGGGGTCCCTCTGATCCCCCCCATACACATAATTAGAGCTCATACATCTTACCACAAATCATAAAAATCCTACTTAGAAATTACCATAGAACAAATCAAAGTGAATTTCCTCAAAAGCTGATAATCACTAATGACCATGTTCGGTTGATTTTGATGATGAAAACGCAGCAGCATTTTGTCCGTTCATGGGAGTTTCAACAGTGAGGTATTTTAGATGATTTATACATGTTTTCTCCAAGCTAGTTTGATGGCCTGAGTAAGTTAATCTGTCCTAAAACTGTGAAGGTTAAACCAGGTGATGATACTTGGGACACATTAAATATCTAGTAATCTGCTAAATACTTTCAGTCTATTTGCTATCAAATTTTATTTGAAATAAAGTGCTTCTAATAAAATCTCAGACCTAGAGTTTAATCTCTCTGAATAGAACCAATTACATGAAGTAAATTCTCACTGAGGTCAATTTGAGGTCACTGTTGATTAGGCTGGAGTGAAAGAATCGTTGTTTCAGCAAAACATGGGCAAAAACATAACTTGAAAGGATGGTGGCAGGGATTGGGGTAGAGAGAGAATGTTAGTGTCCCAGCTCCCGCAAGAAAAGTTGATCTGTCCTGAGACACAGGATGGTCTGGGGCCCTTTGAGTGTATCTCTTTAGCATTTATCACCGTCCCTCACAGTACAATCTTACAGGTTCACATATGAGACAAAGGAGAGGATTTGCAAAATGAAGTCTGGGTCTTCATGACCAGACTATGAGCCGCCCACAACAATCCTTCGACTGATGGCTCCTGGCAGGGTATAGATGAAGAGGACCAGGAAGATGATGAGGATGAGCAGAATGAAAGCGATGATGATGTACTTCTTGTAGTTCTTCCAGATGAGGTGGTACAGACACTTGAAGGGGCTCACAAACCACGAGAAGGAGGTGTCTGGGCGGCTAGGGAGGAAGCAAGAGGAAATCAGGGAAGGGGTTTGTGTTGTCAATATCTAGGAGTCTCAAACTCCCAGGAAGCACTTCTGATTCTGACTTTCTGGGGACCTATAAGGAGAAGCCTGAGAATAGAGGGAGACCATTTTGTCTAAAGCGACAGAAAAAGTCTACCATGTGGTTTATAATGGTGTCAACGTTGCTCTGGAATTGAACCAGAGTACTGTTAGAACTCAGCCAAAGGCTCTCCACCCTCCACCTTCCCATCTGTCCTTCTGTAATCAACTCAAGCCCATCTTCTACATGACGTCCATCCCAACCATCTCAGTCGGTCCAGAGATTACCTCACTCTAAATTCCCATCTCACCTTGACTTCTTACTCTCTTTCTGAGCCCAGTATATTTATTTTCTACACTCTCATAACTATTTTATGAGTCTCTGTGCTGCTTCTTATAAATAAATAGGAAGCTTCTGGAAGGTATACCTTATGGCTTCTTACATTTCTTTTGTGTTCTCCAAAGCATTATTTAAATAGGTGCTTAATGAATAGCTTTGAGTTATAAACAACTAGGCACCTATTATGCTCCTAACATAATGAGAGTTGAAATGTAGGTAGAGAGACAAGATCACTTGTCCTGGGGAGGGATAGAACAAATATAATTCCAAAGAATATTTTATGTACATATTTCACCTATATTCAGTTTTTAGTGGATATGTAACCAAGAATCAAGTTGAACAAAGTAATACTCTTTTGAAAAATAATTCTGATTCTGGTGATTTATTTTTAAAGCAATGATTTGAAAAAGGAAATTTTTTTATCATATTGTAAAAAATGGAAAAAGACAAAATTAAATTGTATATCTGATTATGATGTGATAATCAAGTTGATAGACATCAAGTCTATGGAATATTTCACAGTCATTGAGAATTCTAATTATAACAGTCATATTATCAAAGTAAAACTTTTCTTTTTTCTTTTTCTTTTTGAGACAGGGTCTCCCTGTAGCCCCAACTAGCCTGGAACTATGTAGACCAGGCTAGCCTTGAACTCACAACAGAGATCCACCTGCTTCTGCCTTCCAAGTGCTGGGATTAAAGTCATGCACCACCACACCCAGCAAAGCAAAACTTTTCAGTAAAGGATAAAACATTAAGACAATCCTGTAAGTATGATTAGAGAATATATATACAATTCATATTCACATTAAAATGGGTAGAAAAATAGATGAAGTGATTCTAAAAATGCTTTGCAGAGTATTATACATAAGACCCTCTCCATTTGCCAGACATTCTGCTGTCTTTAAGATATGTTTCAATTGTAGAATGAAAAGCTACACAAGGTTGGGAGGCACCAATTGCCTGACCCATGAGTTCTCTGTGAGGAAATAAATTCTTTTAAAAATATATTTTATTATTTTTATTTTATGTGTATGTTAGCCGCCATGGGGTGCTGGGATTTGAACCCAGGTCTTCTGTGAGAGCAGTCAGTATTCGTAACCACTGAGCCATCTCTCCAGCCCAGAATATGAAATTCTTGAGCCTCAGGAACCCACAGAGCTGCAGAGGATCCCATGCCCACGCTCCTACCCGCCAGCCATACTCACTTAGGCTTAGCCAAGGGCTCAGGCTCCTTTCGTGCTTTCCCTACAGGATTTTTCTCAGCTTCTTCTGCTGTGACCAGGTGGAACTCAGCTTCCACCTTGCCCTGCATAAAGACAGAAGTTTCAGTTTCTAATCACACAGACCTGTTGGGACAATATCAGTTTTCTAGAGGTGTTTTCATGTTAAAGAATGCCAGGAAGTATTTTGGCTATTCTGATTTTTTTTTAAATATTATATTTATTATTTTTATTTTATGTGTGTGAGTGTATTGCCTGCATGTATGTAAGTGCATCCATGTTGTGCAATACTCGCAGAGGTCAGAAGAAGGTGTCAAATCCCCTGGAACTGGAGTTATGGATGGTTGTTTGCTACCATGTGGGTGCTGGGACTTGAACCCAGGTCCTCTTCAAGAGCAGCCAGTGCTCTTAACCACTGGACCATCTCTCCAGTCCCCTGTTGATTTATTCGTCTTTAATCCCAGCACTCAGGAGGCAGAGGCAGGCAGATCTCTGTGAGTTCAAGGCCAGCCTGGTCTACATAGCGAGTTCCAACAGCCAGGGTTTTTTTTTTTTTTTTTTAAAAAAAAAAAAAAAAAAAAAAAAAAAAAAAAAAAGAAACCATTTTGTAATGAACCATAAAAGCCCCAGAATAGGAGATAGGGTTAGTGGATAGAGTCCTTGTTGCATAAGCCCCTTAGTGCTCACATAAAAGCTAGGTGTGCCAGGCATGGTGGTGCACACCTTTAACCCCAGCACTTGGGAGGCAAAAGCAGGCAGATCTCTGTGAGTTCAAGTCCAGCCTGGTCTAAGAGTGAGTTCCAGGACAGCTGGGGCCACAGGGAGCAAAAAAAAAAAAAAAAAAAAAAAAAAAAAAAAAAAGCTGGGTGTAACAGCATGCATCTGAAACCCCAGTGCTGGAGAGACAAAAACAAGTGGATCCCAGGGGGCCACTAGTCAGTTAGTCTAGCTGAAAAACCAAGCTTCAGTAAAGGGACTGTGTCTTGAAGACATACAAACAAACAAACAAACAAACAAACAATAACAAACATGGAAAGTGATAGAGGAAGGCATCCTGACATCAACTTCCGGCCTCCACACATGCATGCACAGACACATGCACTGGTATAAACATGTACACACACTTGCATAATCCCCACACCCCACACACACCACAAGGCTCTAAGAGGATGGAGTTTTCTGGATGGAGAGGGTCCCACGTGCACACACAGACACAGATGTACTCAGCCACGTGGCTTACTCTATGTGTCGTCATTAATATGGGAATAAGTGAGACTGATGATAGAAATGGAACAGGAACTAGAAAGGGGATGAATGACTTGAGTGGCAGGCTCTTTGTATCTATTTCTTTCTGCCAGTTCTCAAGAGGAAATTGGCAGACGTGCCCTTCATGAGCAGAATAGCTTCTCTATCATCCTTCGATTCTTTTCTTGTCTCTACTAATCATTTCAGAATCAGCCTTTTATTCTAAAATGTCCTTCTTCCTTGTGCCACGCTCTGTGACAGCAGTCCCTTTGGTTTGGAAGTTGTGAGTCAGGTGTATCTTTCAAGCACCATGCCAAATTTATTGGGAGTGACCTAAGCCCTGGATTATTGAAGTGGGGGACTCGTTCTTTACTGTTCACTCATTCAATCGCTACTTTGGGACCCTCTGTAAGTCAGCACTCTTCTAGGTCTGGGGACTTGAAGATAAGTAAGCAAAACAGAACCCCTGATCTGCTGGACCATCTATTCTTGGTGGATGAGATCGTCTCTTCTACTGCCTTGAATTCTGTGCATTGAGATTCAAGGTGGTGGGACAGAGAAGGGTTGTCAGAGCTGATTCTTCATAGAAGCATTTTAGCACACGCAATAACTGTCACAGCTCCTCTCTTTGGATCACATGTGAATAGAGATTTCTCGGCTATTTGGTTGATTTCTTCTAGTCAGTCATGTCCTATGATCCATGAATGTCTTTTAAATACATGTTTGTAAGTAGTCTCTCATTTATATTGAGAAATTATGGCGATCATAGGCGATGGGCTACATGAAAAGTACTGAGAAAATATTTGAAAACTGTGAGAAAGGAGGAATATGTAGCTTCTTTAGACCATAATCACTCTTCCACAGAACTATTAACACGTAATAACAGCAATAATAACAATAAAACTCTAATTGCTAGAAGAAATCCAAGAAAGCAGCCTAAAATTCATGGTGGAGGGAGAGGTCTCCATACACAAATAGGACTTCTAGAGGTCTGTCAGAGTGGACATGAACTCTGATGAGCAGTATTTTGTGCTCTAGGAAATTCATCCAGTTGCTATAATTTAATGAAGAGTCAATTTTAGAGGCACTAACTAATTACTAGGCTCTAAGAATTCTTGGAAGAGGATAGAAATCAACAGAGAATATATTAGGACCAGAGTAAAGGGATCATAGCAGTTTCTTTCTTCTCTACAGCTTAATAATAATAATAATAATAATAATAATAATAATAATAAAACAACTCAGGCACAGTGCTCTGCAGCCTGCTTAGTGCTTTGCACATCCATGATTCCATTTAAAGCACCACTTAACAATCCAGCAAAGTAATTCCATTTCCTCACTATAGCCAAGGAAACCCAGGCTTGGTGACACTTGATAATCTGTGTTGCAAAATCAGGATCTGCATCCAGGTCCTCTTACATGAAATCTCATTCTTCTGCTGCTTTATGTGCCCAAGTGACTCCTTAATGAGGAAGACAGAGTACTTAGGGTGAAGCTGATGGCCAGGAAAGAAAGGCTGACATGGCTGTCTCATTGAGTAAAGATATGAGGTGGACTTTGTTATAGAGAGGTTGTGAGTTCAGATCTGAGTGCCCTCAATTATTCTTTGGTTTAGAACCCTGGACTAACCCAAGGCAACATTAATTGTTCTAGAGGTCAGAAATAATATTTACATTTATTTGTTTGTTTGTTTGTTTTATTGTGTGTCTGTGCACCATGGCAAGCATGTGGAGATCACTGGTCAACTTGCTGGAATTGATTCTCAGGGACTGAACTCAGGTCATAAGGCTTAGTGGCAAATGCTGTTACCCATCGAGTCATCTTTAACAGCAATGAATAGGTGTGACTTTTCTGAAAAGTTCTGAAGTAATTCCATAATCCTTACCATCACTCTGGAATTATAATATGCATTTGACCCCAATTTATGGGCTGGCCATGGATAGCTTGAGGCCAGCAAAGCAAAAGATAGAATAACATAGCATAGACAGCCATTGAATGATATATTCATAATTTAGTGCAGACTGATCTGCATTGAAACCAGCCTCTACTAGCCATGTACCCTTAAGTCTCAGTGCCCTGAGGATGTTACTAGTATGTAACACCCCCTTTCACACCCTAGCATAAAGTTGGTTTGAAGAATGTGTAGAGAAGTTCCACAGGTCCAAGAGTCTTACAGGAAAAAAAAAAAAAGAGAGAGAGAGAAAAAGAAGGCTGAGCACATTAAATAAATTCTTCCCCTGGTTTAAGGGGCATCAGTTACTCTCATAAACAGCCTTGCTCCAGCCTCATCACCCTGCCTGAGTGGCCACAAAGATTTCTGGAGCATCGGGAAGAAGGCAGCGGAGGAAGGTGTGGCTGACGCATTCTGATAAATGTTGCTTTTCACTGCTCCACACAGAGGACTTTACATCCCACTCCATCATCAGTATTCAGCCTTGTACCAAGCAGAGGTCTTAAGCTAATAATATCCTCCAAATGTAACTCAAAATCAGGGATAGAAAAAAAGGACAGTTTGAGAGACTCTCCATTAACCTACTGACATCTGTGGATGGGGAGAAAATGATAAGGAAAGGTCCCTGAAAAGACATGGATGTGTTGCATTTATGGATATCTGTTTATGAGCTTCAGACTTTAACATGTCAGGGGTGGATATCCAACAAGTTGAGAAGAGATTGTATTTAGAACAGACATGCCTTCTTCTTCAGTAATTATCATTGCTCATTAAAATGCAACCTCACCAGTATTAAAAGACACGTTTGCAAATATTAACAGTTGAATATGCATTGGTAAAACACTTTAATAATTTATACATCTACACATACTGTTATGGTTTGAGTCTGAAATGTCTCCTACAGCCTCACATATCAGAAGCTTGTTCCCAAGCTGGTGAAGCTATTTTGGGAGGCTGAGGAACCTCCAGGAGGCGGGGCCTAGATGGTGGAAGTAGGTCATTAGAGGTGGATCTTTGGAGGTTCTACCTGGCCCCTTCTGCCTCATTCTTTGCTTCCTGGACCACCATGGAAGGAATGGCCTCTGGCACACACTCATACCACCATGAACTGTTCCACCATGCCTTCTCCGACATGATGGAACAAAATCTCCTGAAACTGTGAGCCAAAAGAAGTCTTTCCTCTCTTAAGTTGTTCTACTCAGGTATTATGGTCACAGCCATGTGAAAGTCAACTGACATATAAACATATGCACACACACATGTGTACACATGCATGCATGAGTGTGTGTACATTGTATATAGAAATTTCATTTCTGGGTAGCTGAATTAAAGAAATAATTCAAAACTCCAAAAAAGCCTTATGCAGAAAGCACAGCCTTTCTTTTAGATGTTCAATTGTCCAATGTGCCTTAACAAGGGATCTCCGACTCATCTTGGATTTTTCTTCTATAGGCCTAAAGTCAACTACTTTTCCAAAGGTTTGTAGAAGATGATATTTACAAACTAGAATCCAAGTGCTAAACATTTTCTTTGATATTCTTTGCTATTGGGTGATTCTGCGTCTAGATTCTTTCAGTGGATACAGTTAGATAATAAATTTTCCAAAGCCTCCATGAGTCCACAGTGACATCAAAAAATTAGTCAAAGGAAAAATATTGATAATCATTGGAAATAATTCTTACACTAATTCTTGTTTCTAATTTTTGGTAATTAATAGATATAAATATTGATTCTGTCATTTGAGGGGTGGGAAAGTAGACTAGCTGTATTTCCAGTTTTTGAAGGAATGTTCTTAAAAGATGAATTCTAAGAAATAAGTGGAGAAAGAGAGAGAAATACAAAAGGTGGAGAGAAGGAGGGAAAGAAGGGACAGAAACTCATTTATAAAAC